ATGCCACAAATAATATGGAATCACTAGATTTCCAGTAATTAAATTAAATCCTCGCCTTCCAGTCTGCTCCGTGCATATTCCTACCCTGATGCATTCTTCCCTCTTTCTAAGCTCAGACCTATGTCTATCTGCTGTTCCAACCTCAATCTGTTACTTTAACCTTAGGGCATGTAACTTTTTGATGCTAGAAAAATAAGTAAGTGACTAGCCTTCTCAACTATTTTGTTTTGAAAAAAAGTGAATGCCAAGAAAGGACTGGGGATGGTTAAGCACTGGGCCCCGGGGCTTATACACAAGTCAAACTGTCCTCCTCTCTGAGTGAATTACCTTGGAGATTATTTATCTCTGAGCTTTTGCTTTATTCTTGAGCGCCATGGACAAAAGCTAGATATATTATGGCTTGTCCAGCTCTTTCGTTACTGCTTATAAAAGGTCGTGTTTTTTTTCATACATACTGTCAAACTTCTATAGATTTCAACTAATTCTGAATATGTCAGTGTTGGGGGGGAAAAAAAAAAAAAGGATTCTAGCCAGAAGACAAAATTAGTTAACCAGTTTAAAGCACAGTGCTTTAATTATAAAATTATTTGGTTTTTTTTCAGCTTATTTTATCCTGTGTGCAAACTTACAACTACTGAGTTAGATAAAGATCTGTATTAAAGGGTTCCTGTAAACTTGATACCTTGTTGTGGGTTGTGTAAGCCATGAGTCACAAAGTGGTTGTCTTCTGTTCTCAGCCTTTTAGCTACTCAGGACCTCGGGAGACCTCTTTTTTCAGGCCCTAACTGCTGTTCTCCCTCATAAGGAGAAACTGCAAAGTCCCCTTCCAGAAACTGGGGCTGGTGGGAGTTTTTATCTTTGAAAACAGAAGTTAAAATGCCATCTAGGCCACCACTCTGCCCTCTGAAGCAAAGCAGGAAACAGGTTTCAGAGCACCCTCTCTGCCCAACCAGAGCCAGAGGTGGGTAAAGACCTTCCCCACTTCCTGGGGGTGGTGGAGGGCTGACAGGTATTTTTGGTACTTCACCTTCTTGTGTCAGCTTCCAGTATTCAACCTGCTCAAGGTGGATTTGTGTATGACCATCAGCTCAATCTGGTGTCTATTTTAAGGCTTCTACAAGGAAAACTGGTTTGAGGATCTGCTTTGATATGTTTCATTAAATATTCTATGTTTTACACATACTCCTGATTTCTCTTTGTGGTGTTTTCCACAAACGTATTTTCTTTCTTCTTCCTTGTGTCTGCACTCAAAGGAAACTCTTAAGAGTTCTACTGCATCCTTTAATGTGTGTCAGAAGTGTGTTAAATAGCCAACTAAACAAAGGAGGAATGAAAATGAAGAGACACTGATGCCAGTAAGAGGTACTACAATTCAAATGCATTTTATGAGAAACAAATGTCTATAAATTTTTTGGGGGGAAAAGAACAGCTTTGCTGACTCCACTACTGTATGTACCAAAAAAACTGAACTGCAAGATAAAAACTCACCCAATTATATCACCTGATTCTTTATCTGTATATGACACCCAAACATCTCACTTGAAGGGGAAAAACAATGCCTCTTAAGAAGGTGATTTGTTCATCTGAGCTCCAGTGAAACATCCTGCCATATATGAATCTTTAAAACAAGGTTCACTACCCAGGCAATCCAAAGAATAAGCATCCCACGCCCAGAGTTGTAATGTTTTTATAACACAGTCAAGCTTTCTGGTCTGATTTTTCACAAGCTGTCCTGCTGTGGAAAAGCGGGCATTTTGGGTTTGGTTTTTTTTTAAGTTTTCACAAACATCCTAAGATGCTGAAGACTCCCATTTGTACACACAACTACTCAAAACTTGTTTTGACAGTTGTTGGTACTTAAATTTTCTGAAGAATCTTGAACTTGTTAATGCAGCACTCACAGGTCTAAAGTGAGAAAATCAAGAGTAAAACCAGCTTGCTACTTCCCACCACTTTTAAAATAGAGCCACTGCTCCATGAAATGCACACTCTGTGATACTCGCAGCAGATAGGAACGCTAAACTCTTACTGAAGCTAAAAATAAAAGGCAGTTTGTGGAGAGAAAAGAATAAAATCTATGAAGATGTGTTAAGCCTGTAATATTACGCCCAGCGGGGAGAGACCCTGAGCTGAGAGAACTAGGACAGACCCTGAGCTGCGAGCGAGGACAGCAGCAGCAGCAGGAGCGTGTTACCCTCCGGTTACTCCCCG